CGTTTTGTTTTCCCTCCGTTACAAAATAGTTTTGTTAGGCAACCATTACCATAATTGCTGAAAAGAGGGTCAAGTATTCGTCTGTCCTCCTTTATAATTGACTATCGTGTCTGTGCTTTAGTAATCTGAAATAAGATCTGTGGTTGAGGGCAGCCCAACCTCAGACAGACCGCATCAAATGCACAGTGTTCTGCTGGTTTCAGTGGGATCCCTTCATTAAGACATTCAACACAAAACCCTCCCAATGATCTGAGAAACTTTACAGAGCATACTTGTCATATTATTTCCTGTTAATCGACTATGTAAACATAATGTATGGCGTCTTCCATGGGCCAAGACAAACAACGAATGATTAAACAATAAGAGCATTAATGTTAAATAAATGTGCTTCTAATATCAAAGGTTTTTCAGTAGTTTAAATGTATTAATAAATGAAAGATAAGAAATGCTTCTAATAGTATTTTAACTTAAGCTGTATTACTTAGTTTTCAAAAAAATTCATCAAGAAAAAACAATAATATGAAATAATGATCACCTTAGGGTATAAGGCAGGCTAATATTGATTCCTTATTGTTTAGTAAAACAGTAATACCAATGAACCCTGTATCTTACTGTTAAACGTCATTGATGATTGGGGGGGCTGTGGCGCAGTGGATTAGTACGTTGGTGTTGGGATCAGGGGAGCACAGGGTCAAACCCCACTGCAGTCAGCATGTCGTTGTGTCCCTGGGCAAGACACTTCACCCCAAATTGCTCCTGTGGGGATTGTCCACAGTATTGAATATGGAAGTCGCTTTGGATAAAAGTGTCTAACAAGTCAAATGTAATGTAGTGTTTTTTAATAGAATTCCACGCAGTCTTAACCCTTCTCTGGAATAGCAATGGACCACTGAACCTATGAGCAGGGGTCAAAGTTCACATTGGATAGCTTTGTGTACCGTGAGCAAGAACAATGAGTTCTTTAGCAGAATTTGTTCTGCACATGAATACCTCCGAACAGTTAATTGCTACCATGGCAACAGAACAGAGAGGGAAAGTGACATTAAGGGAGCTGTCTGCAAGAAAGCGATCCTTCGCAGTGACAGTGTGAAAGTGTGTGTGTAAGTGTGTGTGTGAGCATAGGTCAACATTTTCTCCGTATCACCACACAAGCCATTCATTGTTGACAAAAGCACTCTTGTGCTGCAGGATTGGGGAAAGTTACTAATGCTGGCAAGATCAGAATCTTAGTCACATTGCAAGGCGGGGGTGGGCTTTCACATTGGAGGGAGATATGGAGTTGAAGTCATCGTATCTTGCAGTATCTAGGACTATAAACTGGGGTATCAAATAAAAAAAAGAGATTACAATTGGATTACTATCTCTTAAATACCAAAGTAAACTATGCTATCAAGTTTAGTTTTTCCAAGTACATGTAGTTAACAGCATAATAAAAAGTAAAGGTTTTTAAATACAAAAGTATGTATTTTTTGTTTTTATTGTAGGGCATATTGAAGAATCATGCATGTAAAAATAGAACTGGATAAAGTTTTGGATGCAGGACGCCGTTCATTCCTAGAGTTGTTCGGTGACGCATGAAGCCAAAATGGGAATAGAATTACCTGCATCAGTCGTTGATCTTCCACATTCATGGGGCTATGACACAAGCCCACTAGCGTTTCCTTTACCACACCTCCTTGCCGCCAAGTCCTTTTTTCTTTGGCGAGTACCAAGCTTGGCTTCAATGGCCAACACTTTTCCTGGGGGCTTGACTAAAGTCTACATCCGCGCTTGCAGCTCTCTGAGGCTGCACAGTAGTGCCATGAGTTAAACGCTCTGTATGCTAATATGCTCCAAGTAACAAAGCTAACACACTGAAGTTTAGCAGGTAGTATTTGCCAGATCTACCATTTAGGTTTGGTTTTTAAGAATGCTAACATTTGCTATTACAACTGTGCCAAATTTCCGAGCAATCCATTCAAAAGTTGTCAAAATATTTCGCCAGAAAAACTGAAACGCGCACTTCAGCAACAAGTGTAACAGATTCTAGAACACAGTTGAAATTAAGAATAAAAACAAGCTCTCAGATAGACGTGAGATAATAAAATACATAATTGGAAATACAATGTGAATGTACATTGTGTTTATTGATAGGCCAAAGCAGCCTGGCAGGTGCCTAAGCTCTGTCTGGCTCCTATGTATGGACACCCTGTTTGTGCTATAGGTTAAGAGTGATATGTGTTGTCTGTGTATAGGAGCACATGGCCTCAAAGGCACATTCTAGTTCTATTAGTACAAATCAATAAATCACTGAATCCTAAAACACCAGGAAAATGAAAGAGAAAATATTATAGACGATAGTCGGCCGGGATATCCTGAGCGGGCCTCCAAGGGGATTGCATCATCCCAATGTGCCTGCTGTGATGATGTTATCGGGGACAGCTGCATGGGGTGGAGCCAGGGGTCGAGGCTCTCAGGGAGCCAAGAAGCAGCCAGTTGCCAGCAGATCCCCTTCACTGAGACCCACCTGCTCCGCATGTCCATTTTCCCTCTAAACCCCTCAAAGGGATTCCCTGAGTCCTCTTCTATGTCCACTGGCCTCCCGTGTCTTTGAAGTCATGATCCTATGTGTTTTCATGGCATTGAAGTCCTTATCCTATGGTCGTGTTGTGTCATGTGTTTGATCCAAACGTTTGTTTGAAGTTTTACAGAGAACTCTTAAAGTATCCGATGGGCTCATGCCAAACATTAGATCTATAGACCAAGGCAATTATTTACAACCAACGATGATCCAAAACCAATCTCTCCTGAAGTTTATTTATGAATCACTTTTTCTCACACAACTACACTTTATGGGAAGGGACATTAGCGTCAAAAGTTGGCAGTAGTTGGCGTGCAAAGGGCAGTCCTACTAATTTAATTAAAAGCCCTTGAAGAAGAAAAAGCCTAACTTAATACCATCAATTAGGGGTTGCTCTGCCATCTGACTAAAATCCCACACCCCGTTTGTGTGATTCATACAGGAAAATATGCCTCTGTCTTTCGAGGTCAACCAACTCTTTGGAGAAGCTGGCTCAGGGTCAGGAAACAGTAGTTGAGGGTGTAGGAGTGGGAACCAAGGCAGTAGGGCCGCGGGGTTGTCCCACTAGATAAGCCATAGCATGAGGTCATTTTGAATGGGAACTCGTGTATTTTCATCTCAGCTTATGGCAACGTCTTTATAGTGCAACAGCTGGTCTTACGAGGAATCTGTCGTAGCAAGAGAGAAAAGGCTATACGAAGAAAACGCTTGTCAATTTCATATAAATGGAAAACCTTTTCTAAAATGTCTGTTATACCTTTGATTCTGTGCCCACTGTCATTCTGTAAAATATTTTTCTAATACGTACTTTTTGGTGTTTTAACTTGATGATAGAACATTGGTTTATGATGTCTTTCAATGACTTGGATTCTGCCTTTTTTGAGAGAGGGCAATGAAAAAAACCTGCGAAAGAAGGTTTCATTTACAAGGTCAAAACACTCATTTCTTCACACCTGTGGGAACATTTAGAGGTCAGTTACGCAATAAAAGTCTCTATCCAACTTAATCTTTCTATTAGATCTATTTGTGCTCTTATTGAAGCATTAGGCTTGACAAGACACTCAGACCGTATGTCCTCTGTCTGAAGTAAAGCACTCTCTTAGACAAGTACGTAGGAACCACTGATTCAAGGCCCTGTCAGATCTAAGAATTGATGGCAATTTGGCAGTTGAGTTCTGTGAAACTGGGCGCATCAGCACACTGTCAATCATCCATGTCACAGTTCAGGAATCAAAGAAATTGCATGAACTATCGTGCTTTATCAGAACCTTATGCGAACTGCTATTTCTGCAGCATCTTATATAAACTTACGACAGTGATGGCAGATACAGGCTTTGTTTTCGAGTGGCTGGGTGCACCCTGTAGTCAGATCTCTGCAGCGTTTCTCCAACAGAGCTCACCATGGAGACTAAAACGCTTTTTGGCTCAGGTTGAGCATTGATGTACATATGTAATGTCATTATTAGCGATGTTCCATCCTTTTGTAGTTAAATGGAAACGGCATGTGTGTTAGATTAGGTGGGCGAAGCATGCGTGGGCATCATTTAATAAAGTCCTCTGTCAATTTCAAGAAAAGTATTTATTTTCTTCAATGCTTTGTTGTTATCTACCGTACATATGTCTATTCCATTTGGCGTCATTTATAAAAACCTTTGCTTACTAAGTCTTGTGTGTTTTTTTACACCACACACTCTTATGTGCACTGGGAAATGTTCCCCTGTAGGCTTTGATAGAGAATATTATTGCATTTTGATTAGTCCCCACTGTTACCACAGCAATATTGCAACGCTGTGTCTCATCAAATATTTCCCGGGCTGAAATGGAAGAAACATTACATTTCCTGATTTTAATTTTGAGCGAAAAGTTGAACAGGGACATTGGCAGCCCAATAGAGGAGATTAAAATATGTATGACTTCACATTTCTTATTTCTGCGAAAAAGATCTGGAGAAGATTAGGCAGGAAGTATGCGGCTTTCCCTGAAACTTAATGTTTCCTCTGGGAACTGCAGCATTGTTACTGTTGATCAACTTACATTTCCACTGTGAACTGATATCTGCAAAAATGAGTTTAGTTTTAGGCATACAGAAGGATACCCCATTTTACTGGGACTTTTGTGATCTCCAGCAACATTTAACCCTGGCTGAACACTTAACATTTTTGGCAAAGAGAACTACTTTAGTTCTGGAGATGATACACCCACAGTATCGAATTGATCAGATTTCAACTCCTCTGTGTGTATTAGCAATTATTCATACTGAGAGCTGAGAAAAAAGGCCAGTGATGTTAAATGCTTCTGAACTCCTCTGCTTGAATATAAATTATATAACACATAGGTTTTGCAAGACAGAAGGTTTCTTGAAGCAATGGTTCATGTTTTCAAAACCAATCCATGTGTTCTAATTCCGATCCAATTATTTTTTGTTTTCCCAAAGGTCAGAGTCAGGGATCTCCAAATTGACCAATCGTCTGTCTCTCAAAGACCGTGTTGCCAAAGCCGAGAAGACTTCCACGAACCAACCTCCATCCTACAGGAGACGATCTCTCAGTCTGGACTGGTAAGACCAAAGATCTTCCCTCAATCTATCTAATAATGCTGTTTCAGGAATACATCTTGTGACAGTTTATTCAGGGGTGTCAAACTAATTGTAGTTCAGGGGCAACATACAGTACAGCTAACTTTGATCTCAAGTGGGCCGAGCCAGTAAAACCATAGCATTATGATTCGACTTATAATCTATCAGAATCGACAATGCCAAATTGTTCCCCTTGTTTCATTGCAAAAAAAGTAAATTCTGAGCAAAATCTTTTTAAAAATGTTATCATTTTACATTCATTTCTACATCTGTGTTGCAATCCTGACCATCTGAACTGACACACCACCATACTAACTAAAACTAAAAGAAGAAAGTAAAGTAATCCCCTTGCATTGTAAATGTTATTCATTTATACATATGTTACATATTTGTGAAAATTGCAGTTATCGTCTTCTCTGTATTTTTTTACACTTTGCAAAGTCATCTCTCGGACGGATTGGACCCTCTGGCTCCCGTATGTTTGACATCCCTGGTTTATTTTTAAACTATTTTAGATCTGAAACCAATGTACATGTCTATAAGGTTCCCATTTGGGGTTGTACAGATGAAAATGAAATATGACCTTATAGACTGGTAACAGAAGCAGGAATTTGAGTAGAATATGTCACGACTGAAATACACACAAATTCACAAGAGAGAGACACCATGCGGATTGCTGCTGTGTGGGGTTGGAGCAGAGAGTGGGCGTAGTGGTGATAGGGTCCTGCTCCGTCTCTGCGTCTGGGTTTCGCTGAACAGCGCCAAGCAGCTCCAGTGGCGCCGGCTCATCTTGCTCTTGTAAAGCTCCAGTCCTCAGGCAGCTGATGAAAGGAGTTTGAAAGCTTTCCATCACAAGGCTGCCTTCCCGTCCCCGCCCATAGGACTCCTTCCCAGTCTCCCCTCTTGTTGCTTAGGCCTCCACTCATTTATCTACCCATCCATCCTGCCGTCTGTCCAACTGGCTTCCCCCCTGAGCTTCCTGCTATGTATTCTTGGCTCTTCCTTTACACTTCTCTCGCCATTGGGAAAATAGTCTCAGTTAAAGCGGATCTCACACTTCCTTTGCACCTCATTTTGCCAAGTAAAAAACGTCCAAACAGTCACGAGTCTAGACGGTTTCCAGGTTTGTAATTGCTGTGCCGGGACTACAGTAGCTATTCAGTGGAGTCACTTTGCGGTTTGTGGAGCTACAGGTGTGGGACTCTCTGAGGTCCTATCCAGTCATGCTAGGGGCCGCTGTGAGGTCTTACGAGATCTTTTGTCGGCCTTACGAGACCTACTGTGTGGTCTCGGACCGACATGCGTTGTGTGGTCCACCGGCGAAATGTGCTGTTAAGTGAATGAGCGTTGGAGTGCATTTGCAGTGTGAGGTCCTTCACTTTAACAGCTTCGTGTTTTCTTCCCATGTTGCTGGAGAGGGGGACCTGGCCTTTAAAGTTCAGGTCCTGATTGATGTAGTCTGGTTTTAATGAAACACAGTAGGTAGATTGGACATGCTCATTTACGAGAGGGATGAGGGGGGCTCGGCTACAGCTGGATTCAGACTTTCTCCAGGGCGAGCCGCCGTTACAGGAGTGTGACTGGTCTTTTGTGACATAATAAACAAGGGACCCCAGGAGGAGAGATTCGAGGTTGTGGGCTGAGTCATGCTACTGGGAGGTGAAACGAGGTCGGTCCGGCTCCTGAAAAGACCAGCGCGGCTTCTCTGGAATGCACAGTCATCAACGCTGTCAAAAGGAAAACACGTGTGTTAGCAGCAGCCACCGAAAACACCCCATGAATCAGTTGCATATTTGGAATTTTTAGACATTTATTGCACTTCCTGTGGTCAGTCTAAACAGTTTGTCTTTTTGTTTTGTATTTGTAACGAAAATGCTATATTTTTCTAGGTTGTGTTAGCCAAGACATTCCTTCGACATTGTCTAAATATTTTCCGTTTTAAGTATTGTAAGTACCATGTTTGGACATTCAGGCATTTTCCTGATGTTTTAGCTTTCTGCTTTGGTATCGTTTTAGTATTGGTTTCAAGGTATTTAGGCGTGTATTCATATCAAAGTCATACTTTTAATATTGTGACAGCAATATATATGATATGCTCAGCTATAAGTATAGTTCAAATAAAACTCAAATGTGGTCCTGCAATTGTTGCTTAAGTGAATCTTTTGTGTTTCCAGACTGTAAAATAGCTAAAATATCTAAATGTAGTCGTCTACACCCTTAAACCAAGATTGAATTATGTTTATCCGCCTACTGCCCCCCTTCTTTGACACTTTTGACATCTAACTTTTTACAGTAAGTCACACAAGCAGTATTTGAAATACCACGCTGGAACCCTACCAGCAGCCGGCTGCAGTAAAGCAGTCTCAGGTGACCTAACACTTAACTATCTATTTAGTGGACCATTGCCGTTTATGTCGATTCAAGTCGGATACCCAAACAAACTTAGACTATTAAGGGAATTCTCAGCCAAGGCTGTCCATACACAAGCCTGAAACAGGAGCCGCTTTGTAGCTTTATCAACGTTTGCGAGAGTTGGCAGGGGCTTGGGAAAATGTGATAATAAAAGATAATGGGAGTGTTATTGTTATTGGTAATCATAGTAAAAGGCCTCTAGGGTATGGTTGGAAAACAGAGTAGAATCAGGGAGTCAGAGGGAGTTGTAAAGTGGAAACAAGAGGTTTGATTTCCTGAAAAAAAGTTATTGATATGTTTTTTCTTTGCAGGATACCATTAGAGGTCATAATTACAATCTACACCCGTGACGTCCTACGGTAGACAAATTCGTTCTTAGGAGATTTTCTATTCAATAATTCCTAATAAAAAGCAAATTTTCTCTAAAAGCCATTTGATAACTAACCTTATCTCAGTTTGCTGCTAAAGCTGCATATGGCTCAGGGAATTGTTTGCATGATGAGAACATTAAGTTCAATATCCAAACAAATACATTCAGCCAAACATAAAATCATGCTGCCTTGTTTCCTGACATGGACACATGAGACATCCAGTAGAGTCTGATAGTCAACACTGGGGCTATAAAGGGATGCTGGTTCTGTTCCAGCACAGGTCCAGTAAATAAGTCTTTTATTTCCAGATCCTCTCATGGTGACAGTTTGAGCCCTATGCCAAAACCCAGGAGTACAATGGAGAGGCAGCCATGTGTGTCGGCCAAGCACTTTTTGTATTTCCCATAACATTTCCCCTGCAGTATGCCTGGAGAGGAAACTCTATACCTAAGTACTTAAACATCAACGTGTGCTGTAGCAATCGGCGATCAAACCTTATCCACTTCATAAATACAAGTGGAAATGTGAAGTTGGTACCACACCAGTTCGATCGTGATGTGTGTGGCTGTGCAGTATGCGTCCCCTGAAGGCCCCTCAGCTCTGCCTGGTGCCACCCTGTCTTTAGGGATAACTCAGAGCTGACAGCACTCTTATGATCAAGTCCTAATATCAATGCCAGGAGAGAAACCAGCCACCCATTCCCGTAGTCAATATAGTAACACACACCCAAACACTGAGGTGGAAGAAGTACTCAGATCTTATACTAAAGTAAAGTAGAAATACCAGAGTGTAGGAATACTCTGTTACAAGTAAAAGTCCTGCATTCAAAATGTTACTCAAGTAAAAGTACAAAAGTGTTGGCATCTACATATACTTAAAGTACCAAAAGTACAGATGCAGATTGGTCCATTTCAGAATCACGTATCATATTTTGTCATTAAAATCTTTGATGTTTTAATGTGTGTAAAGCTGGAACACATTTTAATTATTGTATTTAGTGCTTGGTAGCATGTGAAGTTAATCCTTGAGTAAATGTACTTGGTTACTTTACACCAAACATACACACTCACTCGCGGTAGAAACTCATGTCTGATGTTCTCCTTGATATTCATGCTCACACACATACATGAGCAAACACACATTGTAATAGTTATGTTGGGTATGTAAAGGGAGAATGGGGGTTACCAAGTGCTAATCCTTGTGAATTCCTCACGAAGGGAATAAAAAAAAGAACATAGAGAAATCTCCAAAGTCTTGGAGGAAGAAAGAGGGCAATGCTCAAGGGGCCCGGGTGTAAAGTGCTTTTGGACAGTGTGCCACTCGCCTCATTTGGTTCTAATATAATTTAATATTCCCCACTCTTTTTCATCCTTTTCTTTAGATTTGTTCTCCTTTCTTCTTTGGCTGCGAGCTGTCAGTTCAAACAAAAGGGACAAATGAGGAGGTTATAGATCCCTATAATTTTTCTTTTTTAGAAATATCTACTCAGATCATACGGTTAAAGATCCCGACAGAAGTGAAATGATCCATGCTGGTGTTTGAATGTCTAACAATGTACTTCTGCTTTCTGGCTGCATTATAAAAACCTTATTCAGAGAATGTGTTAAAACACTAAAAAGCGTTGGCACCCATTACATCTACTTCAAGATGATATATAAACTGGAGGCAATATTGGGCTAGAAAGTTTACGTTTTTTTTCCAGTTTTATTGAAAGTACACTGACATGGCATAGTTATATACACACATCATATAGGTAGTGTAGATATGTTGTCAGTGTGCAGGTTTTACGTCATGGAAAATATGCACCATTATTTTGTGGCCTTAGCTTCAGTCCATAGACTCTATGGGCCGAAAAGACGAATAAAATGTAAACACTGAACATCTGCAATCCTATTATTACTCAGCAAACAGCTGATGAAGTACATGTAATATGACCAAAAGTATCAGTACTACATATTTAAAAAAAGATGACAGACTTCAGAACAAATCTGGTTATTTACGCTAATTGAGCTGTCCTGTTAACTTTGGATTCAAGCCGCTCCTTCACCTTTGATATTCATTTTCTGAGACTGAGATGTTTGCAAGATATGGCAATATAGATTTTAGTATACATGATAATAAGCCCTGGACTATCATTTTTTCTCGCAAACAATCACAAATACAGTACAGTATATATAGCCCCTCTCATGCAAACCCATT